TAGTAGTAGTAGTAGTAGTAGTAGTAGTAGTAGTAGTAGTAGTAGTAGTAGTAGTAGTAGTAGTAGTAGTAGTAGTAGTAGTAGTAGTAGTAGTAGTAGTAGTAGTAGTAGTAGTAGTAATAGTAGTAGTAGTAGTAGTAGTAGTAGTAGTAGTAGTAGTAGTAGTAGTAGTAGTAGTAGTAGTAGTAGTAGTAGTAGTAGTAGTAGTAGTAGTAGTAGTAGTAGTAGTAGTAGTAGTAGTAGTAGTAGTAGTAGTAGTAGTAGTAGTAGTAGTAGTAGTAGTAGTAGCACGTACGTATTATTGGTAGCAAGATTATTACGAATATTATTATTGGTGTGATTATTACTCAAGGGGCGCCCTCGCCTTTCGCGCTCGGCAGCGCGCGCAAGGTGTTCGAGCAGATTTCGTGGATCTGCGCCTGATACCCCCTGGCAGAGCCAGGCACGGCGGTTCAACTGTCGATTGCATTCGCGGCGATGTGCTGGCGATTCGATCCGTTTTCGATCCGATCCGATGTCGCGATTCGATCCCGCTGGGACCTGAGAAGGCTCGTATATTTAGAAGGCTCGTATATTTAGATCGGGCATGTCCTCCTACAGGCGGATTTTGGAAGAAAATTATACGGTAGTCGAGAATTCCCCCCCAACAGAAAAAAGTCAAGAACGGTCGAAACATCGTCCCCAGACTAGTTTTGCATATTCTCGAATACTTCCTCCTGCAGGGGGACACGCCCGATTTGATCGCGTATCGCAGAACCAGGAACGGCATAAACATAATTTCTCGGAGGTCCGCGCGGATTGCCTGGATCGGCGCATGGGGCCCCCCTGGCGGCGCCCCCACCGCCGCCCCGTGGCGCGCTCCGCGCACCAGGAGTGGGGGGCCCAGCGCAGACCCAAGAAATCCGCTCGAAGTTCAAAAATGTTCTATGCATACCGCCCCGATTCTTCCCCGATGTGTCTCAGTTGTCTACCTCTTCTTCGATGATTGTTCTTGGATTGCTGTTGTCCGCGCAGGTTGTTCTTCGCTTCTGAGCCCACCCGCTCCTGTCGACGAGGTCTCGGCAGAGGTCCTCGAAGTGGTCGCGCGTGAGCGTCTCCTCTCTGGAGGAGGGAGGGTCAGGCCGAAAAAGAGGTTCGGGCATCGAGGCTCGAAGTGCCTGTAGAGGCAAACAGTTTGTCGGAGATCCGAGCAGATTTCTTGGACAGGCGCTGGCCACCCCTGGAGGCGCCTCCGGCGCCGCCCCTGTCACGCTCCGCGCGCCAAGGAGGGGAGTCCAGCACCGATCCAAGAATCCGAGCGGATCTCAGAAAAATTAACCGCAAGAAGCAATCAAGAAACCCGCAGGTATTTTCCATAGCCGCGAAAACTCGAATTACTTCTGGAGTGGAGGGTTCCACCGAAATAACACCCTCGTGATGTGTCAACACACCAAATCCGCCGATCCGGCGTGTGAGTTTCAAGGAGTCTCAGCTACAGCCTCGAGGCTGAGCCTCAGCCTCTGGGGGGGTTGCCGGGGTGGCTCTGCCGGGGAAGGGGGGGTGGGTGGGGGGGGGGGGGTGCGAGTTTCCGGCGGGTGCGTTTTTTGACACCCCTCACAAGGATCGTGGCCTCCGAGAGGGTTCCGAACTCGAGTACCACCCCTCCCGCACCAAGAGGCTCCGAGGAGGCCTCCAAGAGGCCCCAAGGGGCGCAGAAGAGGCCCCCAAGAAGCCCCAAGAGGCTCCCAAGAGACACCCAAGAGGCCCTCTAGTGGCCCCAAGAGGCCCAAGAGGCCCCAAAGAAGCCCCGAGAGGCACCCAAGAGGCCCCCAGAAGTCCCAGCCAACCACGAGATCCCAACCAGCATCCATGAGGCCTCTGACCCACCACCCACGCACGGTGGCGGGATGGGCCGACGGCCACTGGATAAATGCTGAGTGAGAGGAGGGGAGGGAAAAAGAGAGGAGGGACGAGGGCGAAGAAGGATCACATCAGTCGGAGCGCCCCGGATCGGCGGCACTGGCCGAAGGCCACTACAATACATCAATTACTTCCAGCGGGGGGGGGGGCGGGATCGTAACTCTGGGAGTGCCCAAGCACCGTCATTTCCCATGGATCGTGGCCCTGCATCATCATGATTATCATCACCAGCATCACCAGAATCATCATCATCATCATCATCAGCAGCAGCAGCAGCAGCATCATCATCATTTTCATCATCATCATCCTCATCATCAGAATCATCATCATCGTCGTCAGCATCATCGTCATCATGATCGACATAATCAGAATCATCATCATAATCATCATCACCATCACCATTACCATCACCATCACCATCACCATCACCATCACCATCATCACCATCACCAACATCACCATCACCATCATCATCGTCATCACCATCATCATCATCATCATCATCATCATCATCATCATCATCATCATCATCATCATCATCATCATCATCATCATCATCATCATCATCATCATCATCATCGTCGTCGTCCAATGATCCAACGCCTCCTCCTCCTCCTCCTCCTCCTCCTCCTCCTCCTCCTCCCTCCCTCCCTCCCTCCCTCCCTCCCTCCCTCCCTCTCCCTTCTCCTCCCTTCTCCTCATCGTCATCCTCCCAGGATTGGGGGGGCCAGGGAGGAGGAGCGGTGAGGGGAACGCCCCCACATGTGCCTGCACTGGAGCACCTGAGGGGCGAGGCCGCCGCGGAGCCCCTGGCGAATTCCCCATGGCGCTTCTGCCCAGGCCGGTCCTCGATGTGCTTGGGGCCGTCCGCGCCCATGGAAACAAAGGGCACCTCGGTGTCTGGGGCCCCTCCCTTATCGCTCCCGCTCCTCCTCCACGCTCTGGCCCAGGAGATGCGCGATCCGCTTCTGCTCCACCGGCCGAGGGCGCTGGCCCTGACACGAGCCCGCGTCGGTTCGAGCGGAGTGAAGCGGCAACGCGGCGCGGTCCAGAGCGCGGCTTGCCGCATCTAAAGGTCGCCTCGCCTCACCCTCTGGGGAGGCAGTGCAGGGAGCGGCCATCGGAGAGGATCAGACAAAGAGCAGTGCCGCAGTGAAGCAGTGCACCTCGATGAATCCGAGAAAATATGTTTAGTCGCCCGGGCATGGCTTGGCTTGGCGCCGAGAGCACGAGGTGGCGGAGGAGAGAAAGGAACTTCACGGTGAAACTCTTCGCTCTCTTTCTCTCTCTCTCTCTCTCTCTCTCTCTCCTCCGTCTCAACATCCTCTCTCTCTCCCTATGTCTCTCTCTCCCTCTGTCTCTCTCCCTCTGTCTCTCTCCCTTTCTCTCCCGCTCCCTCTCTCTCCCTCTCTCTCCCTCTGTCTCTCTCTCTCTCTCTCTCTCTCTCTCCCTGTCCTCTCTCTCCCTCTCTCTCTCTATTCCTCTCTCCTCCACCTCCCCCCCGTGTGGAACAGATGAACCCCCTGCTCGGCATCGCGCGCGCTGGGGGTTCACACGATGACGACGACGATGACGATGACGATGACGATGCCGATGACGATGACGATGACGTCAGGTCGGGCATGTCCCCCTGCAGGCGGATTCTGGACGAAAAATTAGAAATACCCCAAAATAGTCAAAAAGTATTCACAAGCACTACAAAAATCGTCCCCTGACTGTGTTGGGACTATTTTTGAATATTCCCCCTGTAGAGGGACAGGCCCGACTCAACGATAACGATGACGTCATCGTCATCGTCACTGTTTGCGAACGCCGTGGCTCGCAAGGGCCCTGCGCACGACGGCGCGGCGGCGCTGCGGCGGTGGCTTCGCAGGCGGGCCGCCAGCGCGCGTTCCGCACCGCGCACGAGCAGGAGGGGCGCGAGAGCGCAGCCTGGCGCGGGCGGCCTGCGCGCGAACGTCGGCGGCGAGCCAAGGGGAGGGGATGAGAAGGAAAAGGCCTTCTCAGAAGACGGTGGGGCTTCTCGGGAGCCCTCCAGCCTTCCGCGAAGCTCTCTGCGTCCTCGGGGGAGGCTCAGAGAAATGGTCAGAGGGCCAGGGAACTCCCGAGCCTTCTGAGAAGGCCCGCCCCTTCTCACGTCACACACACACACACACCCCTCCCCTCGGGCTCGCCGCCGAGAACGAGGGTGTGGTCGACCCCGAACTGTTTTGGCGTCGCTCGTATGGGTTCGCGAAAACGGTGCAGGGGCAACGATAGAGGGGGACTGGCAGATAGGGGGCAAACATCGACCTGGAATCGGCGATACACCGCCGATAGATCGGCGATAGGCCCCCGATAGCAAGTCCGCACGTTTCTGGGCGGGGTAGGGCTATCAGTGCCCTATCCACGATCAATGGGCGATTGGGGGTCGATGCGTTCCCCCCTACACCTATCCCCCCCCCCAGATCGATGCCCTTGAGCATGGCTACAGCCAGAGCATCGTCAGAAGGGACCCCGAACAACGGCTGAAGCCCTCCTGTTGGCCCCCCAGCTGCGCCCTGACGCCCCCGCTCCGAGGACAGAGTGTCTCTGTCTTCAGATGCTCTGACTATCCTACAGGAGCGAACAAAAAACGGCATACGCATAGGTTCTCGGAGGTCCGCGCGGATTTCTTCGATCGGCGTTGGATCCTCCTCACTGGCGCGCGGAGCGCGCCAGGGGCGGCGCCTGGGCGGCCCAGCGCCGATCCAAGGAATCCACGCGGACCTCCGAGAAGGTATGGTTATGCCGTGTTTTGTGGTTCGATCTGCGAGCCCCCTCGGGTCCGAGCTGGATCGGATCGCGACATCGGATCGAATCTCGAAAACAGATCCGAATCGAATCGAAATCGGATCGCCGCGCCTGGCTCTGGCTGGCCCCGGCCGACGCCAGTGAGTCGAACCGAATGCAAGGAGCCGAACTCTGCACACCGACGCTTCGTCCGGTCCCGCTCTGAAGTTCGCACGGGCAAGCAGATCCTGGCGTACACCTTTTTCGCTGTTCGCGAATGGATCAGATTGGATCTGATTCGATTCGCGGCCCCAGCTAGCGCATCGAATCGCATCGAGTCGGATCACAAACGGCCCTGCCCCTCTCAGGCCGAGGCGCGCCGTCCGGCAGCACCTCGGCAGCCTCGAGGCAGAGGCACGGGCGTGCGGCGGGCCTGGCTCCGCGCCTGCAGCCTACATCATGCTGCACCTTCGGGGGCCGTCGCGCCCCTATCCGCGTCGAATCCGTGTCGGACTCGTCAGATCCGCGTCGAATCCGCGTCGAGTCCGCGTCGGGCCCACGCCAGATCCGCGTCGGATCCGCATCGAGCCTGCGTCGGGCACAAGACGAGACACCGATTTGGGGGACAGACGAGGCCCCCCGAAGATGCTAAGCCGCCGTGCTGCCACCAGTAACGCCAGGAACGCTACGAAGCAGGCTTCTCCGGCATCGGCGAACCTCGGCCCGAAAAGCCAAACCCCTCCCGAGCCCGAAGCGGTCCTTCCATCAGCGCCTTGACTTCAGTTCATCGCCGCTCTGCGGCCATCCCATCACAATCAATTACTCCCCCGTCGCGGGCGGGCGCAGTCCCAATCGCACCTCCGCGTGGAGTGCGCCCACGCCTGCGCCACACCCGACGACACCGACGAGCGAAACATGTGTTCCGCTACCAGACGCACCCTCCAACGAAGCCTCTCGCACGAAAAGGCCGAATCGGAGCTGGAAAAGAGGCGGCAGGAGGTTGGAGGCAGCCACGGGGGCTCTGAGCTGGAAAACAGCCCGGAGAAGATATGTCAGAAGGGTGAGATGAAGGCAAGTCCGTTCATAGTCGGTCCCAGGACCCCACCTGGAGTCCATCCGGACCAGGTTTTCACTCTGGATCGATTCCCAGCGGTGCCAGGCCCCGAAAACGGCCCCAGACGCCGAGAACCAGTTCTGGGCCACCTCAGCCCCCCAGCCGGCTCCAACAGGAGGATGTGACAAGATCACGCTGAATAGACATACAGTCAACCCGCATAGTAAGGCTGCGCAGCAAGGATGCAGTGGCCTTTGCGAGCTGGGCGCGGCCAGCGAAAGCGGACCAAGGATGGCCCGAAAGGGAAGAATGCAAAGGTAACCTGAAAAAGTCGCTCATCCTTACTACAGTGCGGGCGCGGCCGCAAGAAACCCTCGCAAGAAACACAACCCTTAAAACCCGGGCGCGAGGTGCACCTGAGGGAAAACCCGGAGCACCCTGAACGCAGCAGCTTCTTCCACGGCTGCGGAAGTCAACGCGCAGCGCGCGGCGCGAAGAAGCCCAGGATACCTTGACGAAAGCATGTGTGCGGGCAACATTTCCATCCGTATCCAGGGCGTCTTGGACTTTCGTGGCAGGGGCGCCGCAAGGCCGAGGCGCACTGGTTATGGATAAAATTGGAGCCTCTAATAGGGGCCAGACTTGTATCCATACCCAGTGCGCACCGGCCTGTCTGGGGAAGGGAGCCCAAAACTCCAAGCTGCAGTGGATATGGACAAGGTTTGCCCGCAATTTGGGTTCTTGATGCGCGCCCCCACTGTATGCAGGGTTGACTGTACACTGTACACTTTCGGAGATCCGCGCAGATTTCTCGGGGCGGCGCTGGAGCGGCATCCCGTCCCAGTGCGTGGAGCGCGCAGGGAGCGGCAGTGGAGGAGACACGCCAGGGCGCCAAGGGGTACCACCCAGCGCTGCCCCAAAAAGCCACGCGGGCCTCTGGAAAAATATGCTGACCCAATGCTCTCGCGCCGCGGAAAATCACGACGTTAAGTCTGGGCCGTTTTCGGCACCTGGGAGCTCTCGCCAGGCCCCAGGACGGTCAAAAAATGGCTCGGGAGAGAAAGCTGGCCCTGGGGAAAAGGTCGAGACTTCCGGGGACCTCGTGCTAGAAAGATGCAAAAAATCAGGACGTCGCATGTTTGGCTTTTTCCTGCTTATACCTGGGGATATGTCGACCCCTATCCCAGGCTTCGTGGAATTTTCGAATGGACTGGAAATTTGGGGCACAACAACCCTGGGATTTTCGATGGGGGGGCATCCATCCCCGATAGGGTTGCGTCCGAATAGCCCAATTGGGGTGTATCCCAAGGTTTCCAGTCTTTTCTGAGCGGCTTTATTTTTCGTCGAAAAGCCGGGGGTTGAGGGAGAAAAATCAGCTGCGAAATTAGGCTTGTTTGGAGACCTGGTGGGAGCAAAATCTGCGCCGGCTGACATTCCGCGGGTTTCCCGGTTGCCCCGTCTGCCTCGGGTTGCCCGGTTGCCGGGCCTCCCTCGGGTTGCCCGGCTGCCGTGCCTTCCTCGGGTTTCGCTGTTGCCAGGTTGCCCAATTGCCAGGTTGCCCAGGTTGCCCAAGTTGCCCGGCTGCCTGGTTGTCCAGAGGCGCTGTTGCCAAGTTGCGGCAATCACCGCCCAGCACTGGCAAGCAATGCCAAGCAAAGCCAAGCAAAGCCAAGCAATGTGAGGCAAGCATGCCAAGCAACGCAAAGCAATGCCAATGCCAAGCAACGACAAGCAACGCCAAGTAATATCAAACAATACCAGGCAACGCCAAGCAATGCCAAGAAATGCAAAGCTATGCAGAGCAACGCCAAGCAAAACCAAAAAAAATAGGCAATGCAAACGAAGGCCGTTCAATCCTAAAAATGTCAAGCCATACCAAGCAATGCCAAGGAACGACAAGCAACGACAAGCAATGCCACGCAATGCAAAGCAACGCCGAGCAAAGCCAAGCAGTGCCGAGCAATCCAAAGCAATAACAGGTAATGCCAAGGAATTCCGGACAATGCCAAGCAATGCGAGCAATTCAATGCAAAGCACAGCAATGCCAATCGAAGCAAAGCAGACACATGCCAAGAAATGCGAAGCAATACAAAGCAATGCAAAACAATATGAGGCAACGCCACGCAATGCAAAGCAACGCAAAGCAATGCCAAGCGACGCAGTCCTCGCGTGATTACTTACTGACTTCCTTAATTACTTACTTGGTGAGCTTTCCCATATTGACGTCGCGCCAGATTAGCGTTGCTCCCTAGATCCCCTTAGGACGATGAGAACCCGAAGAACAAAATAGACACCATTTGGCACCGAGATGCGCGTCGCCGAGAGGCTGGACAGCTCCATCTTCGCGCGCTCGGCCGCCTCGATCAGCCTCTGCAGCGCCTGTGCGTCCTTGGCAACGGAGCGCACGGCTTCATGATCCGCCTCTCTCTATATATGCATCTCTCTCTCTCTCGCTATCCCACTCTCTATCTCTTTCTCCCTCTCTCCCTCTCTCTCTCTCTCTTTCTCCTTTTCTCTCTCTCTCTCTCTCTCTCTCTTGATATGTGTATGTGTATATAAGTATGAATCTATATATATATATATATATATATATATATATACATGTGTGTGCGTGTCCGCCTCCGTGCTTCGAGGCACGAAGTGGAGTACCCTCAAACCCTCTAGAGTTCACTGTCATCTGTACTCAGGACTCTGGGATTATAGTATTCGAAGGGCCGGGGCCCCAAACTCTCAAATTTCCCGGGCGTTCACGCACGTTCCTGGGCTGTCCCGCGTGACTTTTCAGGAGGCCAGAGGGACCCAGAAAGCGGCCAAGAGGGTCCAAGAGGCCTCCAAGACAGCCCAAGAGCGCTCAGAGCGCTCCAAGACGCACAAGATGGCCCCGAGACGGCCCAAGAGGCCCCAAAAAAGCCCCAAGAGCGTTCCCAGAGGACCCCCAAGAGGGCCCAAAGAGGCACAAATAACTGATTGTCTTTGTGTGTTTTCTATGTTTTTTGCGTTCTCGCGTTTTCGGGCTAAGATGGCCCCAGAGGCCCCCACGACCGCCCCAAGACGGCCCAAGAGGCCCCCAAGAGGCCCCCAAGAGGCCCCCGAGACGGTCCAAGAGGGACCAAGATCGCCCAAGAGGGCCCCATGACGGCCCCTCAAAGGGCCTAAGACGGGGAACACGAACCGACTAACCGAGCCTGCCGCCCCAAGAGGCCCCCAGGAGGCCCAGGAGGCCCCCAAAAGAACCCAACAGGCCCCCTGGAGACCCCATGAGGCCCCCAAGAAGCCCAAAAAGGCCCCAAGAGGCCCCCAAACTGCCCCCAAGAAGCCTCAAAACTGCCTAACGAGGCGTCCAAGAGGGGGGGGGCACAAATCATGGCCGGCGGCATGTGCGCGGCCCAGGGAGGGAGGCTGGGGACGTAATAAAATAATAAGAGGCGCCATGACATCTGAGAAAATATCTTGCCCCAGGCCATGATATCCCCCCCCCCCTTTGCCGCCCCCGACATCTGGCTGACATGCGCCATCCGGGCAATTCTCCTGTACGGCGCAAGCTGGCCCGACCGCCCGGCACGCTCCTTGCGTGCAGGGCCGGGCACCGTCTGAAGGCGGCGACTGCGTCCCTCCAGCCACGGCGCCTCCACAGCACAGGACACCCTCGGGCAGTGTTGAGGGGGAGGGAGGAGGACGGAGGAGTGGCACAGCGACTGGGAAGCTTCCGCCCTGCCGTGACGGGCTCCAGCGAGGGTGAACGTTGGGGGGGGGACCGGCTCAGGGGGGGAGACATCGACATGTAATCGGCAACGCATCGCCGAAAGATCCTGGAGACAGGAAGCCGCCTCGAGGCCTCCGACGGCTGCAGAGCGCCCAAGCACCTCGAACCTCGCTCCCCGAGCATCTGGGCGGTCCTGGCGCAGGTCGATGCCCTCGCGCTGCTCGAAGGTGCCAACGAGCCAGTCCACGATCCTTCGCGAGCGCTTGCCGACGCGCTCGCCAGCGGCTCGGGGCGAGGATACGGGGAGAGGGGGGATGCCAGGTGAGGAGGGGGAGGAGGAACAAGGAATGAGGAGGAGGAGGAGGAGGAGGAGGTAAGGAAGAGGGGAGGGAGGAGGCCTCGCGCAAGGCATCTCGGAGCCCAGAGCTGCGAAGATGTCTCAGGCGCAACCGGCCCAACCACCTCCATCTCGGCATTCTCAAAAATCAAAGTGCGATGACGCATCTTGCAAAACCTGCTAGACCACCTCAAACCTGGCCATCTCGGAAAGTAGAGTTGCAAGGATGTCTCAGGCGAAACGGACCAGGCCACCTCTCGCACGACATCTGGGAGCCCTGAGTTGCGAGGATGTCTCTGACGAAATGGCCAAACCACTTCTCGCGCGGAATCTCGGAGCAAGGAGTTGCAACCTCACAGCATGTGGGAGCCCAGAGTTGCGAGAATGTCTCAGGCGGAACAGGCCAGGCCACCTCAATCCCGGCCATGTCGAGCCCAGAATTGTGAGGACGTCTCGGGCCAAACGGGCCGGACCACCTGTCGCGCGGCATCTGGTAGCCCAGAGCTGCCAGGATCTCTCAGGTGAAACGGGCTGGACCACCTCCATTCAGGTCATCTCGAAGGCAGAATTGAAAGAATGTCAAGCGAAACGGGCCAATTCCGGCCTACTCGGAAACAAGAGTTGTGAAGATGTCTCAGGCGAAACGGGCAGGACCACCTCAGAATCCTACTAGCTCTTGAGGGCATGAGTGGTCTAGCGAGCTCGTTCTGCCCAACCCTCGTTTTCCCCTTCGGGGAGGGGGTTCCCCATCCCTCCACACCCTCCCCCTGGGTCTGGAGGGGGGTTCGCCAGGTGTCAGAGAGTCCTTTTTTGCCCCAGGCGGCTCCAAGAAGTCCCAGAGCCCAAGATGGCCTCCAAGATCGCTAAGGATAGCCCAGGATGGGTCAAGACAGCTTCAAACATACATCCAAGAGGCCCGAAGACCGCTCCAAGGCGGCTCCAAGTGGCCACGGAGCCTCCGAAGGAGGCCCCCAAAAGGCCAAACGCCTTCAGAAACACTGTGTTTTGTCAATCCTCGCCTTTGCGCTTCCGATGAGACCTTAAGGCCTCAAGATGGCTCCAACCTGGCTTCAGACGGCCCCAGGGAGAGGCCCAAGAAGAGCCCGAGACGGCCCAAATAGCGCCCAAAAGCGCACCAAGAACGCCCCAAGAGGGCAAGAGGGCCCAAAGAGGCGATGCTGAGGGCTCAGGCAAGGGGGACCGAAACCTGCGACCCCCCTTCTTGTGATCGGTGGCCTCCTAGATGGCCAAAACAAAACCCAAAGGCTTCCAAGAGGGCCCAAAAAAAAGCACCAAGAGCGCCCCAAGAAATCCCCAAGAGAGCCCCACAAGGGCACAATAGAGCCCAAGAGGCCTCCAAGATTGCCCCAAGGGTGCCCCAATGGGCCTCCAAGACGCTCCCAGAGCGAAAGATCGCAAAGGTCTGGATATTAACTCCTGTCGTCGTCGTCGTTGTCGTCGTCGTCGTAATCCTCGTCGCCGTCGTCGTCATCGCCTTCGGTTTTTATTTATTCGTCGTCGCCCCCCTTTTCCTCCCCATGTTCTTCCTCATCACGCTCCTCCTCTTCCTCGTCCTTCTCCTCCTCCTCCTCGTCCTACCTCCTCCTCCTACCTCCTTTTCCCCCCCACTTTCTCCTCCGTTCCTCCCTGTCTCACTCCCCCATTTTCGGCGCGCCCCCAGAGGTCCCCAAGAGGGCCCACGCAACGCAACGCCCGATCGGTCCAGGGCTGGTCATAACACAGGGCACGGGGACAAGCATGCACGGCGACAATACCTTCGGAATCACACCAGCACTCTTGACGTGAGTGGGCTAGCGAGCTCCTTCTGCTAATCCCCTTCTTCCCCCTTCGGGACAGGAGGACCCCCGTCCGCCTACCCCCTCCCCCTGGGCCTTGAATGTTACTCCGATTGTCGTCGGCATAACATGATTATGCGTCATCTTCGTCGTCGTCTGCGTTTCCTTTTCTCATATTGTCGTCGTCAGCCTTTCCTTTGTCCTTCCCCACCTCCTCCTGTTGACAGGTTTGGAATGGGTTGATGGGGACGATTTTTTTACAGCCGCAGGCGGAAGCACCACCGGCGGGAGGTCGCGAACGGGCCGCGGACGCGACTAAATTACCTAACGCGCGCGGGGCCGCGGATCAGGCGGCTCACGACAGCGTCCAGGGCGGCGGGGCCGATGCAATCCAGGAGCCAGAGACAGCCCCTGAACGGGCATGCAGCGGTGCGTCCAACGGGCCTGGGGTAGGCACCGAGGAAACCAAGCGCAGCCAAAATGGCGCGAGAGGCGTTCCCAACGTCCAGGTGCGAACGAGAGGAACGTTCCCGAGGACGTCGACCCAAGCCTGACGGGCAGCACAGACGAATGGAGACGTAAGTCCAGCGGGGATCCCGACGGCGGCAACGAGCCGCGACGCCGAAACGGCATCAAAGTGTGAAAACGTTGCCAAGAAACTTCCACACCGAGATGCTTCAGCCCAGACCCAGCGGGTGGGAGGGCGCCTGATGCACGCTACACGCTCGAAACGCGGCGTGTGCACATCACAGTGTCTCAGTGCTGTCCAGAGCGAGTCGGAGAGCACACGCGGGACGAGACCGCGTATACCCAGGCAAGTCCGTCAAAGCCACTGATCCAGGGTCACGGCGGAAAGCCGTCCAGCATTGAGAGTTCCCGAGGACACCGATCCAGGGAGCCTGACGGGTACCACAGACTGACTGGGGACAAAGGTCCAGCGGAAAAAGCTGACGGCGAACCAGGTCGCGACGCAAGAAAGCGCATCCAGGGTGTGGAGCATGATGACAAGAGTACCTTCCACAACTGAGATGCGACAGCCCAGATCCGACGAGTGGAAGGGCGTCGAAGTGCACGATACACGGCAGACCCCGAGGAGTATGCACATCTAAGGTGTCTCAGCGCTACCCAACCGAGTCGTCTAGCACCAGAGGGACGAGAACGCCTTGTACCCCAGACGCGTCCCTCCAGAGACACTTGGATCCATGGGGACGATGCGCGAAACGTCAAGAATGTTGGGGGCGTCCGTGTGCGAGGGTCTCTCCAGCGGAACCAGCTCTTGTCAGAACAAGACCCCAATCAGCACAACTGTTTGCGAGAAAGAACCGCCCTCCACCCGTGGTCGAAGACCACTTTGAACACGATCCGCCCGTCATCCGCGCAACGGCCAGCAAGTTTTTAGCCGAATGCGCGCGGTACCGACGCAACGACCCCCACTGTACAACGGTTCGCCCTACACCCGTGCAACTGCTGGATGTATTCAAGGAGTGCGCTCGCGGCGCCTATGTATTCCAAAAGTGTGCGCGCGGCGCCTAGGCGGGAGCCTCATTTTGAAAACGACCAGCCTTTCATACGCGCAGCTGTTGGGGATACCCGGCTTCACAAGCGCAATCAGTGAAGAAGGGTCAGGCGAAACGAACGGGAGGGGAGAGGAGGTCGGAACAGGGAAGATGCGGGAGGGGAAGAAGGAAGAAACGGGAACAGGGAGGTAAAGTTGTGAGGACGGGGGGGGAGGGCGAGGATGGATGTCAATTATTTTTACTGGCTTGGCAGCCCTCCCAAAACTGGTCTCGGAAAGTGCCCTTCACCAAAACACATTGAACACTGCGGCCCCGCGAACCCGCTCCATGGGGGCCCATGAAAAGCCTTGCTCGTTCTGGCCACGAGGCAGGATCAGCAACTCTCGAACTGGAAACCCGGATCGGATCGAAACGCGAATCGAATCTGGCCGCCATCGGCGCGGGATCGGAATCGAATCGGGTCGGTCTTGTCTTTTACTCCAGTCCAAGCTTGAGAGGACGCCGGGCCACGGCCTTGGCAGTGGCGGTGCGAAGGAACCTTACAACAATCTGACACCAAAAAAATGTCGGCATGTTGGATTCACGAATTAGTGCGGGAGAAAGGAGAGAGAGCAGAAAAAGGGCGGCGCGTGGGTGGGCGGCTCGAGCGGCTAGACTAGATCCCATTTTGCGGATCAACAAAACCCATGCCAAACCGATCCACAATCTCCAAGGCCTTGTCTCGTCCTCCAACACAAGCGTGAACGGACGCTGGGTCGCAGCCCCGGCATCGTCGGTGCGAAGGAACATTACAACAATCTGACACCAAAAAACTCCCGGCCACATACACGGCCATCTACGTAAGTGACCTGGCACAACAGTTCGCTCTTACACAAATCACACAGCCGAATCTGGCGGCGGCCACAGGAGACGCCAACCAAGGATCTAGCGAGCGAGCTGCCAAGGGCCAAAGAAACTTGGGGTACGGGCCTCCCGGGGCCTTCCCTTCAAGGACCTGGCGTCTGCAATTGGTCCGTTCACGCGCAATTTGTTCCGCGGCATTTTCGCCCAAAGAAATTGTTCGAGACATGCCATAGGCGCAGCCGAATACGCTTCCGCCACGGCTCGCCCCACACACCTCACAAAACGGCGAACGCATCGCGAACACATCGTGAACCGATTCCAAGCGAAGTACACCAACGACGGGCGGACAACGCCACAACCGAGAGAAAGCGGGATGTTGAGCCCTCCAAGAATTCGCCTTTGATGAGCGAGCCTCGCAAGAGCACCTGAGGACCCACACCACCTCGTTGCCCACCTGAACTTTCAACCGATCAGCCGAAGGGAGACCAAGGAGCCAGAGAGGAAATCCTCTGGACCGATACGGCCCAGGCCCCGACTCAGTCAAACTCTGGGCCAAAGAAGAAGTGGTGCCAGGGGTACCTAACCAAACACGTCATAGTCTCGAAGCTGGCTGCCTTGGCGAGGTCAAGTGCCAGGCCTCGAAAGGCATCCCATTCGACGACGGCGATCTCTCTGGCGCAGAGCGCAGCGGCAAGACGGCCTGACCCCGAGGAGACCTCCACGGCGACCAGCTCTCGCCCCAGCCACACTCGGCCGAG